ATCAACAGATGCAGCTTGTGCAAAAATGTTTTCTGCCTTTCAGATCTTTGATTAACGTATAAAAAGGCAACTGAGATCAACATTTATCACACCAAATTGGCAACATAGAAACCACAAGAACCTTAAATTATTATTCCATAACATGTACTTTTCATGTATCACACTTTATTATAGGTCTTTTCCACCTTCATCTTCCATTTCCTTTACATTAGACTTATACATACTGACTGGGAAGTATGTGAGCAGGTGTGGGTATCTTGCCCAAACAACAGCAAGTCTGTGGGGGGGATCGATATGTTTTTTATTGCATTCCATGGATTCAAACCAAATGTCAACATATATGTCTTCATGTAGATTATATATATATATATATATATATATATATATATATATATATATATATATGTCTACTTATGTGTCAACGGGCCTCACCTGCCTCCCCTGACCGCACATCACTCGAAAAGTCCCCACCGTGGAACAAATAAAAGATCTCTTAATGTCTTAATAAAGTTAGTTCTCGATGTGAACAACGTAACACACCCTCAGCAACCCTCAACTGTTGCTCTTTCCAGGCTGCTCCATGTGTGACATGTGGCTCCATGGCCTGCCATTACGGAGCGGAGGAAACCCACACTTTCACACAGTATTATGTAAACCACTGGGACGACTGAAGCGGTAGATAAAACCAGGGAACCGCTCAAAATGTTTATCTGGAGTGAGTCTGTACGTGTGGCACTTTGCAGGATGGACAGAGACAGGAACAGAGCAGGAAACAGAAAGGGAAATGGGGATAGGGTCAGCCTCAGATGGTCTCCGGCACTGTCACGGTTCACACAGAGGTATTTTTCATATTTCCGTCTCGGTCCTGCCTCAAAGCCACATTCTTACACGATGAGTGATAACTTCTAGGAACAGAAGATAATAATGTTGCCTTGAACCACCTTCCACAGGCGAGGGAGTGGAAGAAATGTTTGCCTTTGGGGCTGATGAAGGACCTGATCCATGCATTGTTTGTTTAATCTTTTTTATTTCATTTTTTCTTGAAGCTTGTACTCATAAAATTGTAATCCTCCCATGATGAGTGTGTGTGTGCATTTGTTTTGTCAACCTAAAAATATTAGATCGACCTAAACATTGTGTACAACCTTTTGGAACATAAATTATTATTTATCAAACCCGTTTTCCCTCTGTAAAAACATGTTAGTGGTTGTGGGAAAGTTCAAGGGGTAGGAATACTTTTTCAAACCACTGTTGAGCTACCATTCGTCATTCACACCAAAAACTAACATATTTCAGATGCTAAAACTTCAACAATACTTGTCACAGGAGTATATGGAGTATATGATAGCCTGAACATCAATACATTTCATTTTAAAACTAACATACAGTAAAATAGTTCAGCCCCCTTCATCTCATCCTGCACATTTGTATGTATCGACATGTGTATCTTATTTGCACAGGGACCAAAAAAATGTTCAGAGAAAATGCTGCCTGTCTGGAGTCTTTACCGTGTTTACCGTTACATTTCAGCGACTGCTTCATGATTGGTCTGCCTTGTACATTTGCACACTACGGCAGAAGGTCAACTGCTTCTGCAATTTTATGTATTTATAACTGCAGAAGCTCATAACATCATCTTTAACATAGTTCTCTTTAAACCGCACCAACACATCACCACAGTAATAATAATCTTTGGTACTGGTCTATCATTTCTCTAATCTGTTGTTGGCTATTTGACAATTTTGTGTAAAAGACGACTTCCGAGGTGACTGTTGGGCTAAACAAAGATAAATTGAATTGAAAGTAATGTTTTAGTTGGACCATTCTTGTGTCTGCAGTGGAACGCAGCCTGGTCTAAAGCTCTTTAGTCCAAATCAGAGCCAGTCGATGCCCGAGGCCCTGCTCCTGCTGTGCCGCTTCTCGTGATGGCCCAGTTCTGTGTTCCCATCCAAAACAGACACTCTTTGTGCTTTATACCAAAATAAGACAAGGGGACAAACAGGAGTCATCTTTGTCTGGCGGGACTTTTATTATAACGCAAGAAACTATCGCTTTTCTCCGTAACCATAGACAGTTTTGGGAAAATGCACTGTGAAAATTGTTCAATGCTATAGTTTATTTCTAAGATCATGGACACTATCTTTGAAACAACATTTGACCTTTTAAATTATGTGAATATGTGTAATCGTGTGTGTGACTAAAAAATGTTTCGGATTGGTCTCGAGCTTCATTTACACTCTTGTTGAGTCCAGTCTTGGCTTGTTTTGGAGACTTGGTTTGGTCTTGTTAAAGTCCTGGATTAGTCTGGGCTAATCCCAGTTTAATCCCAGTTTGGACTGCCTAAGAATTAATGTTGCGGAAGATAATTGCGCTCTCTTCTTTTGTCTTCAATTGGCCTCATCAACACTTCTGATGGACCTGCTTTAAATTACTTTAGGCCAACAATTCTTAAAAAGAGGCACTTTATTCTAGTTGATTCAGATTTGCATGCCTGAAAAAAAATCAGTCAAAATCACCTTTGAGGCAACAGTTCTGATGTGAAACAGACAAAAGTAGAACCATACAACTTTATAAGAGATTGAACACTAATCTACAATCAATTAAATAGTTCTGCATTTCCTCCAGCTTTCAGCTCATGTTGCAACTCTCCTGCTGGACAACACTTCAACAGGGATAATCTCTCTAATCGCAGAATCCCATAATGTCATATCCGTAAACATCTTTCCACTACACTTTGTCAGTCGGGTCTAAGTACTAAACTTCTAATACATCCTTTTTTGGGATTGAGTCTTTCCAGATGTGTTGCTATACAGAACAAGAATAATTAAATGTTCATATAAATCATCAATAAATCTTCCACAATTTTCAATTCAATTATGTTTATTTTATAGCCCTATAGATCACAACAGCAGTCGTCTCGGAGGACAGATCAGACAATCAAACAGTTCAGACACAGGAAATGAAGTAATAAACACATACGAGCCAGTGGTCCATAGGGAGCGGGATGACAAATGTCCATAAATGTTATTAAATAAACATGGCTCAAAAAGGCTCCTATTTGGCACGGGGCAAGATCACAGATCTGTGGGGAGCGGTAATATCCAGGTGTTAAATACTGGAAAAGGAAGTTATATCATTTCTTTAATATTATCATAAAAAAGACCAGCTCTGCTCACCTTTAGGCGACAAGTGCAAAGAGATGAGGAAAAAAGTCTAATTAAGGTCACAAAACATGACCCTAAACATGACAAAAAGCAAACGTTTTGCTTTTTGTCAAAACCAAACCTTTTCTTAAGTTTGAAAACAACAACAAAAAAGCATTGAACTCAGCACGAATGAATGGATGAATGATTTCAGTCAAATAAATGGTATTATTTTGAGTTTAACGCATTTGATTTAGTGTTTCTTTGTTAACCATAATGATAAAACAGCAAAATAATAGTATATACTTATGCTCAAAACGCAAAATAATACTGTAATTATTTGCCTTTTTTAATGTGTTTGTTGGAAACATGATAAAACATTGTAAAAGTATATGAGAAAATCAATGTGCTGAAGGTGAAGGATCTGTTTAACCAGCCTCTAAAGTGCCTGAGCGCCGACACAGACACATCTCCTGCTCTTGTTTAACAGGCGTGTCTGCAGGCACTCCCCAAAGCACCAGTGATGGAGCCACATTGGTTCCAGATGTTAGACCATGGGTGTTAACGTGAACAATGGACAGGCCGCACCGCACTCACAGGGGCCGCAAATCAACGTGACGAGCAGAGTGTCCCGAGTGAGGACGCAGGGTCACCCAATGGCATGTGTGTCGTCTGCAGCGGTTGTACTGCATCTGTGTACGGGGGGATTACTCACTGCGGACTATTACTCATTTATGCTTAAGGGGGGGGGTTTCCTGTTTACTGCCCAGACAAGGGGGAAACAGAGCTGTCAGGAGAAAAAAAAGGGGGCAAGAAGAATGTTGGGGAAGTCACACGTGCAATTTTTTACATTTTATTGATTTTATTCACAGTTAAAAGTGAACCTAAATATGGACATAAATAAAACACAAATGAAACACAAATAAAATAGATACAAATAAAATAATAACTTGCGATTTTTGATTATTATGGACAAAACACATAGATACAAGTCAAACCACAAGAAATAACTATGTAACTATCGGTGAAAATTAGAATATTGTTTTAAAAGTGATTTAATTTCTGCGATTCAACGTCAGGATTGAAACCAATACATGTTATAGACTCACTACATGCAAAGTGGCATATTGTGCAAAGTCTTTTTTGCCCACTTTTCCTATGAGGAGCGCGGAAGTGATGTTCGCTGCTTGCCTTGATGTGTATGTGTATGTGTATGTATATGTATATGTATATGTACAGTATATGTATATGTGTATGTATATGTGTATGTGTATGCATCAAACTGAAATTTCCCCATTGTGGGACAAATAAAATACCTTCTACTTCTTCTACTTCTTCTTCAATTATAACTAACTCTCCCAGTTTTACTTCAAACTGCTCACAAAACTGATTGGTTCCATCACTAGTTTATCTCAAAAACTATTCTAAGTCTCCATCCCCAGTTCTAAATTGTGTGTAGTGTAAAACTAGCTTCACATTTATAGATTAAAAAACGCGTCGTGTCATCATTCATAATTTCTGGAATACGCCCAAAACAATGACATTTTTTGCCTTGATGCGTAAAAACTTTCAAGCCCAACTGCACATAACCAGGCTAAACAGCTGTGGAGAAGTCTCACCAGTTACATGGCAGTGGGAGGAGGAGGAGGGTTTGGAGGGAAACTGCCTGAGCGGAGGGGTGTGTCCCGTCCCGAACAGAAAAAAGGGGAGTGAGGAGCGCGACTTATAAAGGGCCCCACAAAACAAGCCACACTCTATCCCGCTCTGAACTACCCCGCAGGAACCTACCGCCAGCTCAGACTTCGGTCCATTCACAGAAAAAAAAATAAAACTCAAAAAACCTACAAGACGATAACCATGTGGAAAATCAATGCCCTGTCAATTCTTCTGGTGCTTGTGTGTGCGTTACTACTTACAAGTGAGTAAATATTCATTGCATGCTTTTGAACCCACTTTCAAAAATGACCATGTGTGGGCTTTGACTGGCTTTGTGTGTTGCAAAAAAAAGAAAAATGTTTGAAAATTGAGCCCGCGCAGATGGGGAAAGGCTTGGTTGGCAGAGGAGGGGTGTGAGTGTGTATGTGTGTGTGTATGTGTATGTGTGTGTGAGTGTGTGTGTGTGTGTGTGTGTACTACTAGAGTGGCAGCAGACACAAAGGGCTGGCTTCAAGAAGTGTGAGGAAAGTGTAGTTGCCGTTACTGGATATTTGCGATGTTTGGGCACATGGGCGGGACTTGCATGTTTTGAAATTGAGCAGAAATGTGTAGTTTTAAGCTGGTTTGGTCTGGGGTTTGAATGGAGGTTTGGGGGGAATCATAAAAAGCATGGTTGGGGAACAAAGTGGCCGCATGGTTTGAGGTGGGGCGTGTAGTGTGGAGTGTGCCAAAGTGAATGAACTAATGCAGTACTATTGATAAAAAAGAGAACTGGGTATATTTTTGACGTTTGCTCATAGTATTATCACTAATTCTACTGCTACAACTGCTTTGCTATTGTGCTTGGCCGGTAAAAGTACATCTGTCATATTCAAGAGCCTAATATAAGCCTGATCCTTTTTTGATTTTTGATTATCTTTGCTGATTTTTTAAACTTTATGTTACAAAACTTGACTTTCTCTTGTGCGGCTGAACTTAATGCATTGTATTGCAACTGTAAATTCTTGTCCTGCAGCTGTTTCTTTCCTCCAATTCTACCACCACTTCAATAGTTGATATATCATGAATTATTTCAGCTTCTCAGTTCAGTTACTATCATCAGTACTTTTACTATTTTTGCCACACCCATTTCAGCTCATAATAAAAATCACTGTCATCCCCTTTAATTCTACTACTACTACTACTACTACTACTACTGCTACTACAACTACTACTACTACTACTACAGTACTTTTAACAAATCTTTGCAATACACAATCCACAGTTGACCACATTATCTCTGTTTTGAGACTTTCCATTAAAGATACATTGAATTTCACACCAGTATGAGTCCCACTGCAATAGGCTTCACTCTCTATATTTGCACTTGTAAACAAAATACAATAGTTTATTATAAGACAGATGATCCTAAACTAAAGTGGGCTATAGCAGGCCAGTCCAAGCTTGTGTGATGGGAATGCCCACTATGCCTTTCGCTGGATCTCGGAGGCCTCTCGCTAATTGCAGGGTGATGTATGACTTGGATGCTGCTACTGTTATGGTCCTCTGCAGTCTATAGCAGTCTATGGCCAAAGACACAGACACAGGCAGAAAGAAAAAAAAAGTTCTGACCTTGGGAATGTGTGCCAGACTTTTTAAAAGGGGGAAAAAGAAGATGGTGGAACATGCTGGTAGTTTGGACAATAAAGAGCAGCAGCAGCGGTTTAACACATGCTGATTAGATTTACAGGCCAATCTAATTATTCGGGATACTCCCCACATTGGTACCACACACAAATGTCTCTTAAAGGGGCAGCGTCTCTTTGTTTTGTTTATTAACCTTGTTTACATTTATCTGCTATCAGTCCTGTCCTGGATTCTTTGCGTTTAACCTTAATACAACCGGACTGTATTATTTATTAGAATATTGCTTAAATGGGTTTGAATTGTGTTTATGTCTATTTTCATTTATTTCATGGCGCTTTCTAAAGATTTTAAGCAACATTTTATGATATGCTGAGATGCACACTTGACGTAAGATAAACCATTTTGAGGGACTTTAATGTAGAACCATAAACTCTTAAAAGTAGATTTGAAAAAAAAAAAAAATCAACAATTACGCAAAACGTTTATAATCTCTTCTCACATTGTCTATATGTTTCTTTATTCAGTTGCTTGTATGACTAATAATAGTAACAATTATATGCAAACCTTATACCATTATGTTGGGTTTGGGTTGATTCATGTATCACCTCCCCATGTCTCCACCCACTTCTCAGGACTTAGATATTATTATATAAAAAACCCAAATCATAAATTATGGATTGAAAACAGCATCAAAAGTCTATAAATAGTTGTGTTTGCATGGCTTCTTACAGACATGCTTTTGTCTCATGATCCGGCTGCTTATTGAAGCTCAGGTCTCACTGTAGTGCTGCCCCGACTCTGCTGCCCCTGACCTTCATCACCGCATCCAAAACTCTTTCTCACAAAGTCATGTGACATCGTGGACACTTGCGATTCACTAATGTGGTTTGGAACTCCGTCGTAAAATGCTGAAATCATAGTTTATGGCTACTACAATGGATTCTTTAATATTCTAAATGACATGACTACTACTACTACTGATAATAATGACCCTAATACAATAATTGGGCTGTTGCTGCATTCATGTGATCTCAGAAACTCAGAGACACCTACGTACAGTGATCCCTGTTCTCCCAAAACCACACAATCAGCAACAACATCAAACCTGCTGAAATTAGAACATCTCACGAGACCATAGAAACCTTCACTGTGCAAATACACTGGGTTTTTCAGCAAAGCATTTGGGCTGATCAATTCATGAATTCAAATGTAAAGTTTATATTTGGATTTTATTCTCCACTCAGTTTGTGTCCATTCTGTCCTTAGATTACAATCTATATTCCAATCTAAGTGGCATCATGCCTGTCACAGTGATGGGAACTTGGGAATTCTGAACCCAATTTTTTTCGTGCGAGTTTCTGGGTTGAATTTTGGAACCAAACAACTATCTCACCCATGTTTCTCGAATCGAGAGTCGGATCTTGAGTTTTCCGAGACTGCTTAAAAAAAATGTAGACTTTTAATATCCCGACTCCTATTACAAAGACTGGGGCGGCTTTACAGCAAGAAGGTTCTGGGTTCAATTCCACCTCCAGGCCTTTCTACATGGAGCTGTGTGGAGTTCACATGTTCTCCCTATGCCTGCGTAGGTTTCCTCAAAGTGTTCTAGTTTCCTCCGAGTGCTACGGTTTCCCCTGCCACTAAAAACACAAACAATTGCTCTCCTCCGTCTCTGGGGCCAGGACTCCCCTCAAAAAGAGATTGTGATATCTCAGTATGACTTTCATGGTTAGATAAAGATCAACAATGTCACTGACTTTGCTACTTTTCTGCCCAGCTCTCACCACTGAAGCACAGAGCACAGTTCACATCAATTTTGTGTGAATTTGGCAATGAATCAAGTTATAAAAATGCTCAAAAACGTCTTTGTCTATTTTTGGTCACATTCAATGCATCTTTTAAATCCGTGAAATAGGCCCATACATTTTGGGAGCGACAGGAGGTCATAGAGGCGACCCCAGTGACGTCAACGAGCACTCAGTCTCAGACATTTTCATTTTTCGTGCTTCGTTCTGAACGTCTGCACAAAGGAGAGCTTTTGTCGCATTATTGCATCAGCGTTTTTCGGGTCTTTTGTGACCAGAGGATGTACTTATTGTTTTTGATAGCTGTGATGTCGTGGGGTGGGGCCGCAGATGTTCTGAATCAATGATGTCCCAACACTTTGCTGATCTCAATTTGATTATGTCCGGATGAGCTGTGTAATATTAGAACCAATAGTTAAAACCATATAGAAGATCACATCCACTTCAATAGCAGACAAACAAGGGTTTCCCAATTATTATTTTTACAGTAGGAAGAATCCGGAGCTGTTTAATCGCCACATAATTCAAAACAAATACCAAGTTAAAACAATATATTCTTCTGCGCGTGCAGCTGATTCATCATCCCATATTTCCAAGGAAACACCTAAAAACGATACTATACTATTCTTCGCACACTACAAATGTGCTTTCACTTTTCCTCTGCTCAGGGATTACCAATGAAAATCAGCCATTAGCTATGTCCAGTCTGAACAATACATGTATTGTGCCATTTCCCTGTCAATTAAATGCATAACTAATCAAAAGAACAGGTTCACAAAGTAAGAATTTCAGCAGCATTAAAACATCCAACACTCTATCTTTATCCTAGTAGTTGTAGTCACACACATTTTGGACCATAAATATTTGGATGAAAAAGATTGGATGTGATAATACAAGGACACGTTTTAATTTGTAGGACAATGGCTGGATTAAATGCCTTTATTCTAATGTTTAATTTAGAATAAAACATTTGATACGCACATGATCAGAGCTTTTTCTTCACCTCAAGTGCTCTGAAATAGTTTGTGCTCACTCCATCCTTCATCTGCCTATTTAGTATCTGTCCTTTAATAAACTGGAATGCCATCTGCAAATGCCAAGACGCTAAGCTGCTTTTTTGTGGCTTTGGCATCCTACACATTCAGTCCCGGCCTCTTCATTCTGGTATGAAGAATGGCATTTGAGCAGTTACTTTGACTCTCTGGGGACGCTGCTGTATATACAGTTACAGTTACAGTACATACAGTACTTGATGCTCACCAAAAAGACATCCATTTGTTTTTATTTGCTCAATGACAACAATCATATTAGTCGTATAGTAATGTTGTAAATCTTTTTGCTTCAAGACCCAGGTTAAAGATCTCATTACGATTAAGATTACATCAAGAACCTAAATTCTTAATGTGAGGGAATAGGATGGGAAAAAAATCACAAGAAATGGTAACAAGTTAAACAAATTTTGATGCTTTGATATCATGTGTATACAGCACTTTCTTGTAAAATAATGGACTGGAACATTGCAGTTTTTTAGTCTTCAACTTCACATACTAAAGTTGGGATGCCTAATTTTTTTATTTCCATTAAGAATACATGTCATTCGACCCAGCAGAAAGAGGCTTGGAACCCTAAGTAAAATGGCGTGAATGGCCAAAAGATACATGCATGTACATTTCTCCATTGTGAGATCAATAAAGGAACTATATTATATAATCTTATCTCATCTTATACATGCAAAAATCATGAAGAGCAAGGAACTAGCTAATTATCTCCACAGAAATAACAGTGACACATATATAGTTAGAAATGTCTGCTTTTCCCCTGGAGAATCAGT